TGAGTCTGTGATTCACCTACGTTGTCCTGCCAGTGCGTTCAGTCCCTGAGGACATAGGAAGAGCAGGTGGAGCTCTATAAGTGGAGGAGGTCTGCTGGCTCCCCGCTGTGCCCCAGAGAATTGACACTGACCATAGCACTCACTCTCATCTCCTCTGTGGTGCAGCCAGTATGCTGTTCCTGCTGTTGATCCTCCTGGGGGCAGGAGGTGTGTTGTCCACCGGGATTGGACTGTATGTTATCTGCTACCACCTGCTCACGGCAGACATCCCTGCTGGCATCAGCCACCCCCTGAAACTGCGAATCTTTCATTGTGTTCTCCTGCTGTTCATGACCTGGGTGAGTTTTGTGATTTGTGTCTCCCTATGCTGGGGTGTTAATGAAGGGGTTGGGGGAAATATCTACCAGAAGCTGCTAACCGGAATCAACACAGGTATCCCATGGCCCAGGCCAGTTCCACATTCTCAAATGGGGACCAACCCAAGGCAGCTTTAAAAAAAAATCATTTTATTCGGGGCTGGTACAACTCTTATCACAATCCATACATCCTTCTATTTTGTAAAGCACATTTGTCCATATGTTTCCATCATAGTTTTCCAAGCATTTCCTTTGTACTTGAACCCTTGTTATAAGCTCCTCGTTTTCCCCTCCTCCATCCTCCCTCCCTCATGAACACTTGGTGATTTTTTAATGTATTGCACTGTCTGATGTCTCCTTTTGAACCCTTGTCTATTGTCCATGCTCCTGGGAGGGGGTTATACATAGGTCATTGTGATCGCTTCTCCCTTTGTTGCCCTACCTTCCCCTCCCGCTCCTGGTATGGCTACTCTCAATATTGGTCCCCAGGAGTTTAGCTGTCGTGGAGTCCCTGTGTTTCCAGCTCTTACCTGTACCCATGCTCTGGTCTAACCAGATCAATAAGGTAGAATTAGGGTCATGATAGTAGGGTGGGGTGGAGTATTAAAGAACCAGAGGAAAGTTGTATGTTTTATTAGTGCTATACTGCACCCTGACTGGTCCATCTTCTCCCCACTACCCCTCTATAAGGGGATGTATGATTGTTACAGATTGGCTTTGGGCCTCCATGCTGCACTCCTCCCCTCATTCACATTATGATTTTTTACTCTGGTCTTTGATGCCTAATAGCTGA